TATCGAAGCAGAGTATTAAGCGGCGCGCGAGGAGCGCCATGAGCCCTATGGTCACCTCAACTGAGAGCGCTAAGACAAGCAGCGCCATGGAGCGATAAGCCGTGCAGCGCTCGCGCCGTCGCTCGTCGAGCGCCACCGACTGCACCTCTATCCGTACGCGAGGGACCCGACGAATCTGACCAATCAGAGACTCTCTCAACTCGCTCGACGCCGTTGAGACAACAGGGCACTTGTGGTAACTCGGGACGGCGTTGAATTTGGAAAAAAATCGATTTTTTTACAACAGCCAATCAGATCGCTTGAAAATCGGCCGCCGAGACTCAGATTCAACTCAACTGGGCTTCGAAAGAGCTCTAATGATCGATGACGATTGGCTGATTTCATTCAATCCGACTTGGTCACCGTTTCGAGAGGTATCGTCGTGCGAGGTCATGGAGCGGGTACATGTAGAGTAATGAATAAGACGCCTGCCGCCATTTCCTGGCTGAGGCGCGCGCCGTTTCAAGCCCAAAATAGTGACGGCCTTCCCATCATTGGTGTTAAAGTAGGGCGTTCGAGTCTTTCATGGCTCGTCATCAAGTCGAGGTGAGTCCGAGTACGTGGGCGGTCGAGAGGGCTCCAACGATCGTCCAATTGCCTTGCCACTATGGCGGTGTCTCGCAAGCGCCACGTTTGATGCTCAGTGAACGTGGGCACCGGCTCGTGCAATCCAAGCGCATCGCCCAGAGTCGCATCCGGCGCGCTACGACGTGGATCGTGAGTCTCCTCATCTCGAGTGTTGCAGTGGCTTACGTTGCCAAGCCGTCGTACAACGGCCTCACACTGACGTTCAGTGGTAGCCAGATCTCTCAGACCTACCCGTTCACGGTCATCGACACTAGCAACCTCCGCTTCTACAACCTTCTTTTGGTGCCAAACGCGCCAGCGCTATTGCAGTCGCTCGAAAACCTCACTAAAACGACGCAGTTTGCCGAGCCGCTCGTCTTTGCCCAGCTCGTCACCAACGCCAGCGAGTACCTCTCCTTAATGGATGCCACGACGACCGCGCAGCACTTGGCTGATCTGGATGTCGCCATCGGTGCGCGCCATGTGAATACGTCGCGGCCCGTGCGTTGCATTGGCACTGCTGGCTCGCCCCTTGGCTGGGTCAACGGCTTTTGCGTCAGCTATACCGAGCGCAAAATTTACCACGCGTGGACATCCAGGTACTTCTACAACGGCGAGGAGGCGCGCGGCGGCGCCATCGCCAACGCCGTCATGCTCTTCACGTACGACGGAGACTTTTTGAGCCGACGTCGCGCGGAGACGCTGCTACCCGACGCGGTGGCTGTCGCCGGTCTCGGGTATTTCCGCGTGAACCACGCTTGGGTGCGGACGATCGAGGACCCGTTCAGCTTCCAGGGCGTTCGAGACGACGGCGCGGCGATCGTGGTTGTAAGCTTCCTCTCGGTCCTCAACTTTAACGGCGCCAAGATCTTCCTGGGTCTCCAAGCCCCGAATCCGTGCTACGATGTCCTCGAGCACATCGACTACGGCTACATCAACCTCGTGACGGCCGAGTACATTTGGCTCGGCCCGCAGCTCGCAACCTACATTACGCAGTTTGTGCTGGTGCTCGCCGCGCTCGGTTCAGTCGAGCACGACGTCTCAGTATCGATCCTCGTCGACCTGGTAAGCGCGACGATGTACTCGTCGGTGCTTCTTGTCATTTCGTTCCTTGGCAAGTACTACCTCGTCTTCAACCTCAGCAGCATGCTTCGATCGGACTCGATCCTATCCATCTACCTCATTTCAGTCATTTCGCTCTACCACAATCTGATCGTGTCGCACTGTTGGCCGTCCAAGCTCTTTGTTGCTCTCCACTACACAAGCATTAGCATCGGTATCTTCCATCGGATGTTCTTGACGCTCTTGGCGCTCGCCGTCACGGGCGCCGAAATCTTCCTCGGCTGCAGCTTCAACACCAAGCTGCAGGTCGGAACCAAACCGACGCCGTGCATTTTTGGCACGGGCAACTGCTTCAACGAGATCAACGCCCGCGTCGTCGCTGTCATGGCCATGCATCTCGCGGTGCTTTCACTCTATGTGCTAGCAATCACCTTGCATTTTCGGCGCCACCCGCGCCAACTCGTCAAAGTCCACGGCCTCTTCGGCTACGCCAAGGATCCTATCGGGTCGCTCGTCAAAGTGTCTGCTACAACGTTCGAGACGCACTGCTACGGGCAGCTCCTCGATCGCTTCCTCGCATCGCGGTATCTCTGCGTCGACGCGCGGAGAGAGAGCATTGGCACATCGACCGTCGCCGTCATGACGCTCGGCTTTGTCCCCATGCGCTGCGGCCTTTTGATTCGGTTCAAAGACTACGCAACATTTGTGGTCGCGCGCCTCCTCCCCATGAGCTGCAAGAAAACGCTGCGTATCTCGATCCCGGTCGCAACACTCGCCAACAACAGCGTCGAGGGCCCGCTCACTTACGTCTACATCCACGCACTCCCGGCCCACGATCTGCGCATTGGCCACCCAGCCTGCATACTCTAACAGTTTTCTCCATGACAATCCCAGTGGCACTTGTTGATGAAGCACTGCACCTG